GGGACCTAGGCTTTATTTGTTTATATCACCCCCAACAAATTAACATGGAGCTCCAAAAGTGAGTCCCCCAAAGGAGAGTGCTCCAAAAATGGTGGGTTGCTGGGAAGGTCAGGAAGTGAACAACGACGAGCTTCTCCCTCCCCTCTCCTGGGCAGCTCCGCGCAGGCCCAGCTGCCGAAGCACCGCGCCAGCCAGCACAACCGCTCCGACTGCTGCAGGCGCCCGCAGATCCGCAGGCTCCAGGCCTGCCTGCTGAGCCGGGGTCGGGGGACCCTCGAAAAATGGCCCACCGGTTTCCCCTGCTTTGTGCTTCTTCTTCTTTTTGCAAATCAACCGCAAATGGGGTAGCCCCGAGGCGAAATCTGTTGGTTTCCCTTGCAAACCGACCGAAAATGGGGTAGCCCCGAAAAAAAGACAGACCCACAATTTGTGTGTTGTTCTGTCTTTTTTTGGTTCCGAGAAGAAGAAACAACTGCAAACGAGGGTTCCCGCTCCAAAAGTAAATGCAATCCCCCTGTGGAAAAGACTATTTCCATGCAAAAAACACCCCAGTGTTTATTCAGAGGTTGACTGCAATAGCCTTTGGAGTGGAGGATGTACTACCTGCTGTTCCCTGTATGCTCCATACAGTTTCATTGCATCCAACCGGTTCATGGCACAACCAGACAACGGCCCTAAAGCCAATTTGCGCGAGAAATCAAACTTCACGACCCTGTTTCGTATTCAGGGGATCCCTCATAAGCGGGGATACTTTTTTTGCAAAGGAACATCCTGCAGAAGTAGTTTGGCAACCTTTGGTATGTCGGCACTCACAGCAAGCCTTTATCTCTCTCTCTCTCTCTCTCTCTCCACCCCCCACCGGCACCTCCCACCCCCGCGCACAATGCGACAGGGACGAACCCCCACCCAACAACACAAACATGACCCACCCCACCCCTCCAACCCTCCAACCCTCCAACCCTCCAACCCTCCAACCCTCCAACCCTCCAACCCTCCAACCCTCCAACCCTCCAACCCTCCAACCCTCCAACCCTCCAACCCTCCAACCCCCACCTCCTAAAGCCACCCGTCCACCCCCCTCACTTTCAGCCCCGCACAAATTTCTCAAGACCCCTTCCCCCCCCCACTCCCTTTCCCTCCAACCCTCAAACCCACCTCTCCCCCCCCCACCCACGCCACCGCCGCCTCCGCCGCCAGCCGCGCCAGGCGTGGAAGGCCATCTGCTGCACCGCCGCCACGGCCCAACTGGCCGCCGCCTGCTGCCGCTCCACCCAGCCTCGCTCCGCGACAGCTCCGCGACACCGAAAAACGCGCGGCAGAAGGCGCGCGCGCGCAGCAGGAAGTCCAGGGAGTGTTTCTTTTTAGGGCCCCCCTAATATATATATATATATATGTGTGTTTATTTGTTTATTTGTTGATTTATTTATTTATTATATTTATTTGATTATTGATTTATTGATTTATTTATTTATTTATTAGATTTCTTTATTTATTTATTTATTCGTATACTTATATGTATATATATATATGTGTATGTGGATAAATTAGCAAGAATATAATATATATATATACATACAATTATATACATAAATAACGTTTTGTTGGTTTTTGTTGCCTAGATGGCCAAGCTGCTGCTTTTTGCAAATGGTGGCTTTCTGGTTGGCTTTCCACTTTAAAAAAACACTCCCTCCAAAAAAAAGGTACCAACAAAGAGAGAGAGAGAGAGAGAGAGAGAGAGAGAAAGACACACCCAAGTTTGCCAATGTTTTCCCACTTCGGAACCAGAAATCAAAGGAGATCACCTTTTTACTGTTGGTGATAAGGTCGGCTGCGAGTGCGTTGCTTTGTCGAGGGTGCCGTTTCACCGTGGTTGAAAGGGAAGGACTTGTGGCTTAGAGGTTCACGGCGCTCCAACACCCTGAAAACAAAAGATGACCTCTTCTTTTTTCAGAAGCTGCTCGAGACTTGTCAAAAGAACTGGTTTGTCTGGATTTGGCTTCTTTCGTTCCCCTCAAACATTGACAAAGTTGATTTTGCCCCATGGCTTTTTGCTTGTGCAGGGAAATGGTTTTACCTTGAGGACTTGGAGGTTTGTCAGCTTCCCTCCAATTGGTGATTTGGACTGGTTTGGAGGATAGGGGGTGGTTTTAAGCATTTCTCCTCGCTACAGCCCCCAAGCCACCAATCCAAACTACCAAAGGGCTCGAGATTTGGAGGTTGGCGCAAAGTATCATACTCTCAGGCCCCCCGTGATGGAAGCTGATAGGAGTCTTGAGTAGGACGTCCTTCGGGTATTGCCCAAGGGTAGGCTAACCTAGATTCCAAGTCCGAATGTTAAGGGTTATCCCCAACACAGTCCAATCAATATGCACACGTACAGGGTTGAACTCATGTTCAAACAGGGGTTCAACTCCAGGCGCGGCCCAGCTATAACTATAGGTATGCGTTGACTTGCCTGGTGGCCGCGCCCAGGAACGACGCCCGTTGTTTCCGTTGGTTTTGAACAAACTCTAAGGAACACATGGAACCTAAACAGTGAAGAGGTCGCTTTTGGAGCGAGACTTGACCTGCACCTTTGGATAGTTCGAATGAACCCACCACCACCACCACCACCACCACCACCACCACCACCACCACCACCACCACCACCACCACCACCACCACCACCACCACCACCACCACCACCACCACTCGCATGCAGCACGCCTTCGAGGCATTGACACAGCGCCGTCTCGGCAGCATCTCGCAGCTCCTGCGAGCGAGTGCCCCGCCGGTGGCGAAAGCTTTCACCGTTTCGAGGAGGAATTTTGGGCAAACCCTCAAAAGAGGTTACCCTCCAACAAATTAGCATGGGACCTGCCTTTTTGGGGTCCCTTTGGCAGGAAAATAGTCTTCCAGAACCCCGAATGCCAGGTTCCAGCTCAACTGGCGGGAGGGTGCCAACTCCAAAGGACACACCCAGAAGAGCATGTTTTTCGTGTGAAAGTGGTTCTGCATTGATCACATGTTTTCTGCCAGCAAGACAGACATGAATCGGAAAATCGCCAAGGAACAATTCACTCAGAGCCTCAGGACCTCTTCAGAACCGGATTCGCCATGCCGTTGCTGGAGAGACGCTGTTGACCTTTTGGGTCTGCCTTTCAACAATTTAGGAACCACAACCGGAAGCCAACCATTTGGGAAATGCACCCATGTCATATTGTGAGAAATTGAAGGGACAGTAGCAAAGGACAAAGGCTCCTTCTTCTTCTTTGGAGCGGTCGCAAGAACTGCTCCTCCAAACGTCATGTTTGTTCGGCTTGTTGGGTGGCGCTTTTGCCAGTTGAACAGGGATAGCACTCAACTTCCCCTCAAAGACAACAAATGTCAAAGTGCAAAAGTCCAGAACCTCCGCCAATGCTACAGTTCAGACAGCAGACGAAGCCAGAATATGAACACAACCCGCCCAGTGTATTGCAATCAAGGCTTCAGCTGCACTGAAATCAACAATAATTTCTGCCACACAAAGGAAAGCCACTTTGCCATGCCAACTGGAAAGACTCAGTCATTGAGGGTCGAGGGTTGAGGAAAGCCGCTTTTTCTTCCTCCCGAATTCCTGTTTGGCCTCAACTAGGGCCTTACTCGGCATTACCCTCTGTTGAGGCTTCACTCCTTGCCAGGAACAATTCGGATTAACCCCGGGGGGCCGCACAAGCCAGAGGAACTCAAGATACCTTCATTTCGTCGAAGGGGATCCCCTTTCATTCGGCTCTCCCGGTTTGGAGCTTCATTTTTCCCTTCCCCGACCCAAACACCCAAACCCCTCGACCGAACGCGCGGTCCTCGTGCCAGCTCACAAAGGCCGCGCGCAGGAGAGACCCTTCAGCCAGGCCCCGCAAGATCGCAGAGACGCTGTCCAAATGCCGAGCTTTCTGCGGTGCTTCTTGCAGGCGCAGCCTCACTTGCTGGAAGAAAAGCAGGTGGCAACCAAGCCTAAACGGGAGCCAGGGGGTTAAAACAATAGGATATTCAACATGAAATCAGGGGCAACCAAAGGCTCCCTTCAAAGAGAAACAACTTGATCAAGATATGAGGACCTGCGACATCACAAAGATTGACCAAAAGGCGTATCAAGTACAGGGGTTGGCAAACATACTGCTACCCCTACCCACATGGAGACTCCAAATCTTCCACATTATTCAAGCAACTGCCAAGCGGAAAATTGCCCATGTTTGCACTGAACTCAAGCATCCCAACGCCGATCGGTTTGCCTCCTTATTGAGACAGCCCCAAACGAAAAAGATGCAACTGGAGTTCTCAGTACCGAGCGTCGATTGCACCGTCAGCAGGCGCCAGGCCAGGAATATCCTCACCAACAGCGCCAGGCAGTAAAACATGGTGATTTCGAAGGGGCACATTCCCCATTCTGAGAAGAAAAACATCTGTCCAGTAGAGATAGGCTCTCCTTAAAACCAGCGGGGGAGAATAACAAAAATGCTCAAACGCAAATGGAAGTGTGGCAAATGTCCAAACCGATCCACCTAAGGCAACGTGTCGTTTCTCGGCGGGATGCCGCTTGAGGAGGACCCGTCTGACGGAAAGGAAACAGCCTCCTGAACAGTCGCGTCTCATGAAATGATAATACAATATGCGGTCAGTCATTCTTTGAGAGAACCTTTGTTAGGGTGGGTAGGAAAAAAAGAGGCAGCCAAAGGGAACACCAAACTTTTTGTGGGTACCCTAAAACAGACTCCCCCCAATGTGAAAGTGCAACAATGCAGCGTACCTCTAATCATGGAAGCTGACAGGAGACCGCTTTGCTTTCGCGCAGCTCACTTCCATGATTATTCTGCAACAGGGCTGTGGGATTTGACCACCTCTGTGACACAACAAAAAAGGGTCTCCCAAAGACTCACCACCAATACAAAGAGGGGATTACCTTATCACATCGTGGGTCTTCGCTCACTCGTGTTACCTAATCTGTGAGCTCCATGATTGTTTCAATGCAAGCCGTAGCAGACCAACATCGGAAAGCCAAAAGACCAAGAGGTCGGCCAAGAGGTCGGCTTTGGGCAACTGAGAATCCGTAAGCACCCATGTCTGTCTGTCTTGCTGGGATCTGGTGGACGGATTCTGATAAAGCACTTGAAATTGAACAGGGGCACCTGATGTAGGTTCTTCCAGGGGGATACCCATGATTAGCGCCCCGTTGTCTGGTCCCTCTACTTGTGGCTTGGCTGGCGTTTTTTGAGCGGCTTCCCACCCAACCCATCGATGCCACGGGTTTCCTGAGAGGTAGAATGTGGCCACTGGGCAATGGATCCAAACATCCGAGCTAAGGCCAAAGTCGCCAAATCTATTGGTTGCCACTAAAAAGCTCCGACCCCAAAATTGCGCCGGTAAACGGACCTCATGCCATCAGTTTGCAACCAAAAAAACGATGATAACAGCTAGTTGCCATGTCGGTCTCAAAAACGCCACCCACCTGAGTTTCAAATGCCGACTTTGGTTACTTCTCCACCCGTTTTCCCCAAACAATATGTGCCATCCGCTGTGCCCCCACCCCACACACACACACAAAACAAAAAAGAAGAAAAACCATCCGTTGTGCCACCCCCCCCCCAAAAAAAAAAAAAAAACATACAAAAAAAGAACACACACACACACACAAAAAAAACAAACCCGGAATGAAAAAAACAAGAAGAAAACAAAACGACATTGCGTTCATTTCGCGTTTCGAAGGCCATCCGCGCCCAGCGGCGCCAAGCTCGGCGCTTCCTCGCGGGTCTGCGCTTCGGGCGGATCCTCAAGCTGAAGGCGAGGTGCCGGTTCCTCGGCGGACGTGGATGTGACGAGGTCCTCCAGATGTGATTTGCTCACATGTCTCTCCTTTGGGGCGACTGGGTCACAAAGGCCAGCCATGTCTATTGCTTGACTAGGTCCAGACTTGAGAGTTGTTAGGTATACTTAAGGTCTCCAAGGATCTGATTCCCTGCATTTCCTTTGGTTTCCCGAAAGGCCCCGCAGCTACCAGTATAGGACTATATAGGTCCTCCAGATTTGATTTGATCGGACTTTCCATTTACCACTAAAACGGTCTAAACCCATAGAGTGACTAAAGTCCGAAACGGAACTCAGCTAGGTCCTCCAGATTTGAGAGTTGTTAGAATAAGTTGGTACCCGATTTTTTTCTGTATAGTCTATTTTAGTAGGGGAGCCCTCCCCCCAAAAAAGGAAACGGTAAAAGGGCACTACTGGGGGAGTAGTTGATTTGGGTCAAAGAAAACGGGGAAAAAACCTAAAACAAAGAAACCCCTCCCTTTGATTTGGACCCAGAAATCAAAGGTGATCAGCTTTTGGGGCCACCCTTGGGGCCACTGAGAAATGGGAAGACCCAAGAGGGAAAACCGAAAGGTTGCAAGGTCGATTCGCTGGCAAGTGAAGCTTAACACGGAACCATGACTTCATATCTTGTTCGATGCAAAAGGTTCACTCATATGGAACCTGACTGGTCCACATTCGGACATATTTGGGGCGAATCGTTCGGGGACATCACCCAAGTAAAAACCAACACATGCGGTCAGGCCCTTGAATGTGCCTGACTTGGTCCAAGCTAGCAGGTTTTTTGCCTGGAAATGGCAGCCAAAGAGGGGTAGATCCTGGGCGCCTGCAACCTCGTGATGCAAACAAGCTGGATGAGGAACTTACAGACCTTGATTGCTCTTCCCCAACAAATTATCAGGTCTCTCCGAGGCGACTTGGTCACACCAAAGATCTGTCATGAAACTATTTTGACCCACAAATTTGGGCGTGCCTTTCCTTGAGAGCAACCTTTTTTGGCGGTCGAAAGGAACACCAAAAGGAAAACCGTCATTTGGCGGGTCCCAAATTGGAAAAACGCACCCATTTAGACCTCAACCCGCCGCATGCTGCCAATGCGCCGGGAGCGCCCAGCATTGAAACGCCATCAGCAGCAACCCCAGACCTTTGCTTCGATGCCACGCTGCCATCAGCCCCTCGAAACGCCTGGTTGCCCGGGAAGAGATGCGCGCAAAGTGGCACCACAGCAGCCAAGTCACCTGCAATTGCCTCAGGCGTCGGCAAGCTTCGTCTGAAACATTGAAAAACAATAATGGGTGTCCTTACAAAAGAGCATTCCAACAATAGATGTTGGTTGGTACCAGTTTCATTTTTCCTGTGTATACATATATATATATATATGCATTGTGAGGTATGGGAACCTCAGGCTCAAAGGCTGATTCTATAGACCCATATTTGCGGGGAGCTACAATGACTACCAAGCGGCCAATGAAGCAAACACAAACAATCAGTCGTTGCATTCCCCCCCTTGCGAGGTCGCTGAGCAAAAAAACAAAACACAATAAACATTGGGCCATTGGGCTGGAGCCGAACCAGAGCAGTTAACACCCTTCTCGTCCAAAACAAGCCTACGCCAAGGGCTCCCTAACCCTAACCCCTAGAGGAGAAAACATGGCAAAAGACGGTCAGACCTTCTGAAGG